TATTTTCATGGAACATACTCCACCTTAAAATGATCTTGTGTTTTCTTTCCACTCTGCTGTATCCACACAACAGATCACAGACTTCCTTTTCAAAATAGTTTTCCTGGAGGTAACTTACAGCTATTCTAGACCTCAGAGGCAGAGGTACGTTCCCCCCCTCAGCAGCACAGATCCATGCTCAGACACTTCATGAGAAGATGCATCTGGCAATGCCTGATCTTGGAACAAACTATTCCCAATCCCTTTGTGGCAAGGGCAGAACTGCAGCCATGAATGTATGGCTAAGAGCTCAGTGGGTCACATAGGCTGACCACAGAGAGACATGGAGCGCCAGGAGCATGTCCAGCCAAGGCTGACAAATGTGATATAAGGGACTGGAGCATCTCTCATAGGAGCAAAACTGAAAGGAGAATGGCCTGGTCAGCATTAAGAAGAGATGTCTGTGAGGGGACCTCATCAATATCTATCACCACCTGGAGGAAATGTGTCAGGAGGCTGGGTGCAGGCTCTGCTCGGTGGTGCTAAGCAATGGGACAAGAGGCAATGGGCAGAAACGGATGTACAAAAGTTCCACCTAAACATGAGGAAGAACTTCCTTAACGTGCAGTGACCGAGAACTGGAACAGGTTGTTCAGAGAGGGTGTGGAGTCTCCCTCACTGGAAATATTCCAGACCGCCCGGACACAATTTTGTGCAATGTGCTCTGGAATGATCCTGCTCGACCCCGGAGGCTGGAGCAGATGACCCACTGTGGGCCCTTCCGACCTGCCGGGAGTGTCACGCAGAGCACGACCAGAATTTCACCCGAGCTCCATCGCATCACACGCCTTCTCCTCGGTCGGAACTGGCACCCCGACAGCCGCTTTCCGGGCCGGGACAGCGGCCTGTCGGGCCCTGCCGCCCGCAGATCGTAGCCCGGGCATCCCCACGCTGCTCTGGGCGGCCCGGCCGGCAGCGGGACCCCGGCTCCCCACGCGGCCAGCCCGGCCCCTGCCGCCGCTGCGGGCGGCGCCGCTCCCCGCTCACCATCTCCTCGTGTCCGGGCCCGTCGGGCTGCCCGGAGCCGCCTTCGCCGCCGGGCCCGGGGCTCGCTCGCCCCTCAGGGGTCTTCCGCTCGCTCGCGCCCTTCCCGCGCTGCGCCGCCCGCCGCCCCCACAGGTAGATCGCGCCGGCGCCCAGCAGGACGGGCGCGCCTAGCACCAGCGCCAGCTGCCAGCGGGACAGCCCGGCGGCGCCGCCGCCGCCCGGTGCCTCCACGGGCTTCGAGGCGGCCATGACGCCCGGGAGGAGGAGGAGGAGGAGGCGGAGGAGGAGGAGGAGGGAGGGTCAGCGGACACGCGGGGCGCGCCGGGAGGGCGAGGGAGCGCCGCCGCTTCCGCCCGCCCACAGCGCCCCCTGCCGGCGCGGAGGGACACCCGCAGCCGCCGTGAGGGAGCCCGGGCCGGGCCGGACTCGGGGCCGGGCGCGGGGGAGCTCCCAGGCAAACTACGCTAGAGTGACCTCGGGGCCGGGGTGATGCGTGCGGAAGGCGTTCTGAGCCGCTTACACGAGATGTGCACTCCACATCTGGAGTGCCGTGTCCAGTTCTGGGCTCCTCAGTACCAGAGCAGTGCAGCTCCTGGAGCGGGTACAGGAGAGGGCAGCGAAGGTGGCTAAGGGACTCTTAAGAGGAAAGGCTGAGAGAGCTGGGCGTGTTCAGCCTTGAGAAGAGATGACTGAGCGGGACCTCATCAGTGTCTACAAGTACCCAGGGAGGGGATTCCAAGAGTATGGATCCAGTGGTAGGTGGGAAGCCATGGGACAAGAGACAATGGACAGAAACTGATGCAGAGGAAGTTCCACCAGAATACGGGGAAGAATTTCTTCAGTGTGCAGGTGGCTGACCACTGGAACAGGTTGTAATATATGTTTGTATAATTCGTGTTTTATTGTATGTATAAGCAGAAAAAAGAAATAAAAATTGTTACAAATATCAAACACACATGAACATCAAGGAATTGCAGCACGACAGCCAGGAGCCGGAGGAGAAGGGTAATTTGCAAAAGAACAGGATGGCACCAAGGAGAACAAGGCCCACCCAAGCAAGATAGGCGTACTAAGGACTCGGTGATTTACGCCTGATACCGACCTGATCTGATCCTCCGAACCATGCGTCTCAATACTCATTTCCTATAAAAACCACTCAAACCTTTCCTCCCTTCTAGGAAACTTAGTTAACAAACCAACAGAAAATACGAATATGCAATGAACTCTGGAAGAAAGAAAAAACTAAGACTGCACAACCTCAGGCTGTAAAAACTCATCTCTCCAAAGGTGGTGAACTTGGGGGAATCAGTGCGATAAAGGCTGATTCAGAGTTCACCCAGCACCGATCCCGGGCTCGATGCTAACTGTTATTATGGTTGTTTCCATAACTCAATATTGCAAATTTTTCAATAAAATTATTATTGATGAATTTGGCTGATTTTATTCATAAGAAGGTTGTCATGGAGTTTCCCTCACTGGAGATATTCCAGACTTGTCTAGACACAATCCTGTGCCGTGTGCTCTGGGATGACCCTGCTTGAACAGAGAGGTTGGACCAGATGATCCATTGTGACCCTTTCCAGCCTTTCCTGGTTGATTCTCTATGAAGTTTCAGCCAATGTGGCTGATTCAAACTTTCTAGGACTTTGTACTTAAGAGTTTTGGAGCAATCCTTGTTATAAATGAAATCTTTCTGTTTTCTTCCCAGTTATTAACTGAATCTATCTTAAAATAATTTAATATGTAATACTGGAATTTTGTTCATGCATATGTCTATGCCTAGTTAAAATCCTTATCTGTAGGCAGAGGAAGCTTATGTTTCTGTCTCCACTTATTTCCATGGAGCACTCAGCTGAAGATGAAGAGGAGTAATTTTTGATATGTTTTTACAAGCATCTCCAGTCATCTCATGCCTGGAAATTTCATTGTAGGTAGTAGGGAAATGTGAGAAGACACATATTGTGCAGAACTAAAAATGGCTGCAAATAAAAACAACAATAAGATTGTGAAGCAAACACGTCAGGATCCCAACTAAAATTTGCCCTGCTGCTCTCTGAGTCAGCATGCCTGGTAGTAAACAACTTGAAAAATGTCCTTTAATTGATAGATTATTACTATTTATGTAAGCATATTTTGACAAACCTGTGGGACAATCCCTCTCCCCATTCTCCCTGTCACCTTACAATAGAAAATATGTATCCAACAGGTCACTAGCTTCCTGCTGGGGCAGCCTCAATTCCACCCGTGTCATGCTTCCTCTAGCCCTTCAGATGTGCCTTACCTGTACAGATGGATGGTCTCCAGGATGTAAGTCAAATTCAGGCTGTTTGAATATGGCCAGAACTGTCCTTCCCCACTTAGAAAATCAGAAAATCAGCCTACACGTCCTTTTCATTGCTTCAGGTGTCTTCTTACTGTACTGTTTTGCACATATTCCTCTTGCTCCAGGCTGCTGCAGGCATGGTTGTGTCTCCAAGCTCTCATACAGAACATCTGAGGCAATGCCATTTGCACACTCAAGCACTCAGGTCCCTCTGCTAATCATACTCTTGTCTGGCCTGGACATGGTAAAAGTTGGCATATACACATCCATGATCAATCATTCCCTTCACCTGTTCAGAATGAACAGTCCCGCGCTGTACTTACACCTCACACCTACACCCACGTGAAAGAAACTGGAGTTTTGTAGCTACATCTGTAGTTCTAAATACACTGGGGAAAAGGTTTAATGGTGGAACACTGAGCCTCTGTAATGCTAAATTACTAGCAAGTGTTTTGGCATATTTCTGGCCAAGACCAACCAGCATATCCAGCAGTGACCAGAAGAACACCAGCACACACAAGGACTGATTCCAGTAAGAAGTTGGATTTGAGTTCCTCCCATGTGTCTTCCAACACAATCCCAACAGGCTCTATAGCCTTAGAGCCCTCATTGTCCTCCTGTCAGGTCCCAAAGCATGTAACACATCTTCCAGTTTCACACCATGTAGACAGCAGTTTTGTGGGCCACAACAGCTTTTCTGTTATTTCAGAGATTTTGAAATAAAGGAGACACAAAAATGACAACAAAGTATTACAGCTACAGTGCAGTAATTACCGTACAGAGCCTCGAGGAAACCCTCAGCACACGCACCACGTAGGGTACATGTTCAGACTCTTGGTCTGAGGGCCAGAAGTCATTCCCTGGATCTACTCTGTTCTGTGGTGTAGGCAGGGCATGTATGGCTTACACCCAGGGCTGGTAAGGAAGAGCCAGCACATTTTTACCCTGAGTGCGTTCAAGTGAGGCAGGGCCTCCCATACCCCTGATATGGCAGATGAAGTTATTCAGGTGAAAAACGGCACCTGCAAGCTTGCACTGTCTGTAATAACCCAAAAAATGAATGAGCAGTTGCTTCAGGGAGTGTTTCTTCCTAGACAGACAACGTTTCTGAAATATTAAGGAAGAGCAGAGGCAACAGGAGTCAGGAGAGAGAGCAACAGGAGAAGAGTGGACCATTTGCTCCCTCCCACAGAGCCAGCTAGGTCTCTGCAAGCAGCTGTGCCGGTTTCTGACCAACATCAATATGTCAATTGTGCTTCTCAAAAATCACAAGCCTACTTTGGGTCTGCCCCCCGCAGGCATGTAACTGTGGGCAATTCTGCATTGGTATTGACAGCTGGGGCACTCAGCAGCAACACAGGGAGCAGCCACAGCCCTGCCAGCCACCCCCTGCGGCAGTGTCATATTGGACATCACTGCAATGGAAAGGTTAGTGGAAACCTTGTTGAAAAGAGAAAGGGCTGACTTTATGTTTAGGCAGCGCCTGGGGCTGCAGTGGGACAGGTTTTAGGGTGGGAGTGCAGAAAGAGTGTTTGAAACTGTGTCTCTGCTTCCTCTTGTTGGCAGAACAGTGTGAAGCTACTAGCTTGGTGGTGGAATTTGACCTTGTCTGGTTGGGAGACCCACCCCCCCAAGTTTGGAGCATCTGTGCATGGAATATGATGAGGATGATGATATTTTCTTTGCAAAATGGATGAGCAGCTTCTGGGGCCACAGCTTGACAGATGAGGAGAAAGAAGGCAGAGGCCACAAGAAACATCAGCCACGACTCTGTAGTGAAAGGAGGGCATCCCTGCCGGTAAGAGCTGTGTGCAGCTTTCTCTGTGTGTGCATGTGGTGTATATATTAATATAAATTCCATCCCCAGAGGCACAGCACCAGGGATGTATGAGTAGTATGGGACACTTTGCCAAGTAAGTTTAGTTCCTGCTAGCTGCTTTTTGAACCTAGCTGTCTGACAGGGTCAATCCTCTGGAGCCTTGGAATACAGAAAACTGGCAAACTCCAACATAGTGCTGATAGGACCAGAAATGGAAGGAGTAGTGTGTAATAGCTGCCTCACTATGTATTACAGTGTTGTCCTGGCTGCTCAGCACAACCCAGCAGAGATCAAAACATTTTGCACCTACATACATAAAGATGTCTGTAACTAATCTGTTCTCTTGTAAAAAACTGTATAACTCCACATGTATTAAAAGGATTTGGTAATTAGGTAATTATGCAACAATATGGTCTCCAGGAAGTTTTACCCTTTACCCCTTGGGACTTACCTGTTTTCAGGTAAGTGTAACTTCTATTTTAAGCTAGAGGATTTGAAAACAATGATACAACACATAGCAAAGCTTACAAAACTGTGAAGTAAGATTTTAAGGTAGAAGTACATTCTTTATTCTTAAAACAAACCAGTTGGGAAAGGGGCAGGTACATGTGCAGAAGGCAGCTCGCAACTGTCTAAGTGATTATCAAAATCAGGTTAAGCTGAAAACAGCTGTTTACAGTATTCTCCTTATTCAAAGATTTTTGCTTTAATTTCAGCTTTTAAAAGAACATTTAGGTGGTCCAAACCTGTCTCCTTTTTTTCCATCTACATCAGTTGTCTTAACAAAGATATTATATTTCCTTACAAACCACTTTTTACTTATATTCTTAGATCATTATGGCTGCAATGAAGCAAATACTAATATATTGGGGAGGAACAGCTAATCTTCTCCAAACTTTTTTTTGTGCCATGCCATGTTTCCGCCTTGCAAGTTCTTCTTCTCTGCTGCTGTCAGGTTCTAAGCTGTGGGATTTTTCATTTCCAAAACAAATTGGGTAAGAAAAACAAATTAGTCCAAAACCACTTCCTCCCTCTTTGAATTCATGGATAGGCTGGAGAGGTAACCTTCTTTCCTAATTTCTGGTCTGATCAGCCACATTTGTTATTTACTCTTACATGTCACCTCAGCCACAGATTGTAAGACAGACTCTGAGCTAGAGCTTTGCTGCTGTGTTCCATCAGACTGCTGAATACATAACATTCATTAATAGGAAGGGAAGGAGGTGAATTAATTTTACTGTATTTTACTTTTTTCACTCAGAGACCCACGCATATGTGATTTCTTTAGGCCTCAAGAGAAACTGGAGTGTTGTAAGAATACACTTTAAATATCTTTCCATTCAGCAAGGTGCTGAACACATCTTGGATATTTTTGTCTGTATTTGTGTGTGCACAGACATATCATTTGAAGCATGTCCTTATATTCAGTTTGTTCAAAAGCTATTTAAATATTTAGCTAATAGCTATTCAAATACTTTGCTATACTTGCATTCCTGAATCCATACCTAGAATTTAGATTAAGTTAGCTGACAGAAAGACTATGATTTTTTTGATGTTACTGTTTAACAAGCTAAACATATTGTGTACACTTAATTATATCTTATACATTACATTAGTGCTTCACACAAATTTGTCTTGCTCCACTAGTTTCATATAGAATATGTCAATTTTAGCTGCTTTATTTATCAGTGTCACATGTTGACTGGAGGAATGAGACAGGAAGATTTGTCTGGGGATTTTATGATCTGGGGATATATCTGAAATGAACTCTTGATTTGGAAGTTGAGCAGTTGGTAGTAAAGAACACTAGTATGTGTTGTTTAACCAAAGCCAGAAGTTAAACAAATGGGCACTACTGATGCCCTAGAAACACCTCCAGAATGAGCATCTCCTTGTTGAGAGCAGTAACTTAAGAGCTATTGCACCTGGATGTGTGTTTTTTGCACAGTTACTCCAAATTATAACTACTTTAAGATTCATTATTGCAAATTATAACTGTTGTAAGATTCAAAACACTGGTACTGTTATTTAAATATTGTCTTCGTTTTATAAGAACAGTGCTAATTATCAGGAGGAATAATAACTGAGATTAGAGTGCATCTTTTCTGAAAGCTAATACCTCCACAGCAGGTCACCATGTACCTTTTCTTCTGTCTCAACATTGAAAATTGAGATACCTCCACTGTCTAGATAAAAATCAAGTCAGCAAATTCTGACACAGCTGTTGGGAAAAGCTCTGTGTGCAGGTACAATGGTACTGCCAAAAGAGCACTGCCAGCTCACTTGGTCTCATAACTAAGGCTGCTATTCAGGGCATCAGCAGCAGAGCAGTCCTGCCCACGCTTCTGCACCATGAGCCTTTTGGTGCTGCATAGCAAAGTGCTCTCAGAGTAGCACAAAAGGTAGTTCTGCTGGAAAATCACTTTCAGCTCCAAACTGGTATGTTGGTCTTTCTAGTTTTTCCTTCTGTTGTGAGACATTCAAGCCACTGCTACCACCTCAAAGACAAAAACAAACTCCTGTGGTATCCTATTGTGGTACAGACCCCATCTTAAATATGGATAAAGCCAAATATCCTAAATACCCATATCCTAAATATGGATAAATATGGATAAAGGAAGAATAACTCCCAAACTAACAACAGTGCTCTTTTTTTTTTTTTCCCCCCCGCAATGTCTTGGTATACCTCACAAACACTACTGAGATAAGCTTTGCAAAATGCTTTTGCTATTGTGATTCACACTTTGCAGAGGGGAACACAAAATTATATTTGTCTTTCCCTAGGTCACTTGCAAGTCAGGCTAAAACAACATGTAACTCCACTCTCCGGGAAAGCTCAGAGCTGTGTATGTTACTGTGGGCCAACACTGAATGTAAAAACTGCCTGGGGATAATTAAGTGAGCTGTTTCCATGGCCTTTATTTAACTTGTTCCCCTGGCAAACTTTAGACAAATTAACTGTGAAACCCTTTTTGAAGCCTCCAGCTATGACTTTCCTTGACACGTTCCAGTTACCCTACATTCAGAACACATAACTCCAGACATTTTGTTCTAAGGAAAAGATTGGAGGCAAAGGAGAACTGATAAGAAGTTTATAACCCTATACATGTATCCACCTTCAAACAGACATTGTTGCTCACAGGAGAAAATTGCTTGGAACAGCTGAGAGTGGTAGCAGAACAGATGACTGCTATTGAAGTTATTGACATTTAATTTAAACTAAACTTAGACTGAACATTTACCACAATGTTTTTACTATAGACCAATTGAAGGCCAGACCAAAACATTTTTAAGAAATATATGCTTGTCTTTAAGCTTCTCAGAAGGAAATAAAGCCACAGGAGAGCATCTGAATGTCAGATGTTCCAAAATATCCCTAAAATACTCGAGTCATTGTGTAAACTCCAGCAAACAATGAACATTTGTGCTGACACACTGAAGATAAATGTTCTTACTGACAGCTGTGCAACCTCTCACATCAAGCCCAAAAGATGTAAACAATTAACTTGTCTACAACAGACACTGAGAAAGAGATAAGACAAATTATACTGACAACAATTTTTGTTGTGTGAAGGAATTCTTTTTTTGTATACCTTTTGTGTGTTTGAGATGGGCAATTAGCAGAAGATTAGCTGTTTTGTAAATAGATACAGTGAACATGAGTGGCCTTTACCCAACACAGAAAAAAAGAGTACTAAGGGACTGAGAAACAATCCTTGAGATCCGTTGGTACTTCTGGCTTTCCCGACACTGGCAAAAAAATCCCCATTTTGATAGTGGAGAATTTAATGTATCATGCAAAGGCGCTGTGAAAGAAAACACAGTCACAGTAATATGATTGCATAGACCTGTCTGTGTAGCTTTACCTTTAGCCCACTGAGGCAGATGGGCATTTCAGAAGACACCTCTTCTCTTTTCTGGACCATTGCTGCCATATCAGTAGGTAAACCACAGGTTTTTTGTTGAGGGCTTAACTGTAATTCTATCTCTGGAGGGAAATTAAAAAACAATGCCTTAGTAAAAGAAAACATTTGGAGACTTTGCAAAACAAGATTGATAGAATACAATCCCCCATTTCGGCTATCTTCCTGTGTTTGGTTTGGTTTTTTTTTTCCCAAACCCTCTAGGAACAGCTACCAGTGATTTTTACCATGAGACAGTTTTTATTTCCAGGAAAGAATATATGCTGATGCTATTAAAATCAGAGAGAAGACATTTAGTTTGTTGAGCCTGGTATGGCATGTGTGCTCCTGTCCCTCGAGCACAATGTGATTGGTTTGATGCTTTCTAAAGCAACAATACAGTATGACCTTACAGAAATTTCAGCTGTATTGACTGGTTTGAAACCAAAGTTAAAATAATATGGCAAAAATCATTTACACTACTCTCAGAAGCAGTCCATAATACTGGACATAGTAAGCTTATGCCTGGGAAAAAACTAGAAGCAGTACCATGTATTTTGTAAACACTCTTCAATGTTAGGTACTTCTGCCAGGTGTGAGATTTATTATATTCAGCATCTCTCATCAAGCCTGTCTAGTCTGATGTAGCCATATGAATGCACAGCCTCTCTATTCAGAGAAAGGCTGCATAGGTCACTGTTGTGCCAGTACATTTATAGTAGCATCTGGGCCAGATTGAATGAAGTTGTGTGCAGGACATGTTTCAGGTCCCTTACAGTCCAAGGTTTGTAGATTCATGTGAACACTACCAAGTTGCTTTAGTTTTCCCCTGTTTGTTAAAGTAACAAAACAACCAATGCACACACCACAAACTACTGCTCTGAGTGCAGGATTTTCTACTGGATTTTCTTAGAAAACATTACAGAACTGGTGGGATAAACCTTCCTTTGTTATAAACAGTCACAGCTCCCTTAAAGCCAGCAGTACTTCTTAGGGTTACTTAATAGCTGAAGGCTCAGCACCAGGGTTATACAAAACAGAATCACAGAATCAATTAGGTTGGAAAACACCCCTGAGATCATCGAGTCCAGCCCTTGACCATGGCACTGAGTGCCATATCATGTCTTTCCTTAAAGATCTCCAGGGACAGTGACTCCACCACCTCCCTGGGAAGTACATTCCAATGTCTAATCATCCTTTATGTGAAGGAATTCCTCATAATGTCCAAAACATATACGCACTCAAAACTGTATGCAGTAGCTGGATGCTTGAAGTGCTTTAATCTGACACCTGCAGGGGTGTAATTTTCAGTACCTCCCATCTCACACAACTTTCACCATCTGCATCTTGCCAGTGTTCAGCTACTCATCCTGAAAATACAGCTCTGTATGGTGTCCTTCTCACACCTCTCTTCTATGGGTTTGTCCCTTTCTAAAACCACCAATACATGATTCCACAGCAGTTCTGTATCAGTTTAATCTCCTTTGCAGACATTCAATTAAACACAGCTGATGCAGATCAATAGCTTTTATCTGCATGCCAGACTCTGGAAAATTGAATCACACCGAAACTAAACAACTGTCTACTCACTACCCACTTCAGTCTTGCAAATATAATTGTAGAAGTCTGTTTCCTATTGTTCCTTTGGTAGGGATGTATCCCTCAGTACCCTGGAAGTGCTTCTTCATTAGTTTAAGACAAATGTGCCCAAGAAACCAGCAGAAAATTCAAAGCTGGGCAATAAGGCATCTTGTCTGCATGTAGGCTGCGCTGGAAACTTGGCAGAACTGGGTGAGAAATGGTTGCTGTCACACTCTAAACTCAAACAGCTGATAAGACTGGAGCACTGTGGGTCAAAGCTCTTATCTGACTCATCTGGCCACAAAAGGCTGGGTAATGCTTTTTGAGAATTCTGCCAAGAAACTGCAGCCAGGTGTAAGGCCTGAGTTTTTGAGGTTATGAAGAGTTCCAGTTCCTTTTAGTGTCGGTGAACACCAAGAGGACCCAGCACACTCTACATTTGAAATGTTCATTGTGTGCCAAAACTTAAATCCTCAAACCCAGGAATAATAGGAAATTCTGCCACTGCTGCCTCCAGAAAGCAAGTTCTTGGCAGTGGGATTCTCTTAACTTAAAAAGAAAGATACAGAATTCTGGGGAAGGTCCTTCACTTTGCAGCACTGTTTGGGAGAGTTTCTGTGGCAGAAAAAAGTCTGCCTTGTGAACACTATTTTGCTATTCGATAGTCAACAAAGATATTTTGTTTTTCAGGCCAAGCTTTCCTCCCTCCACGCAACACGACTTCATGCTTCTGCCAAAGGCTCATCTTCAGGCCACCTCAGGGACTCCAAGGAATTTCAAGAAGACCAAGATGTCAAATGCCACTTCCACAGCAAGGCAAGCAGAACACCTTCAGCAGACAGCTCATGTCCAGAGACAAGATCAAACTCCATTCAGGAATTTGCAGAGTCCTTTGAAAAGCAATTGCATCTCAAAAGCAAACGCTCAGTTTCTTTGGTAGGTAATTTAAGATCATTACAGAAGAAAAAAGCCCAACCAACCAAGTTAGCTTCATCCTTTGTGGAAATTCTGTCAATTTGCTGGGGGAAGTGCAGAAAGAAACTCCAACTGGAATTTCATATTATGTGGTTTCAAATTACTAAAAGTAGCACAAAGAAGGTTAAAGTTGTATCATTAGTGTGAGGATTCTTGATGTAGTGTTACTGTCTAGGCTTGTTCAGGAATGTTTATCCTCAAAATGAGACACTGCACTGGCTCGTGTGGCAATGTTTTCAGAGGTTTCTATGGCTCTGGCCACAAAACATGATAATACAAACCCAGGTTTGCTTCACTTCTGCTGCAAGACCCAGCTCACTTTTTCACTGCTGCTGATCTGACTTAACCTGTGTGGAGTTATCTGTAATACTGCCAGACACTGCAGTGTTTGAGAGGCTTCTCATTTACCCCTCAGGACTCCATCCATCTGCTTTCTGCAGCGTCACCACACATCTGCAGCAGCAGCTATTGCTGTAAGTAGTGGAACATATTTCCACTGAAAGGGCATGCAGGCAACAGGGGATTCTCCTCCCATTTCATCCTTTCCCCCATCATTCTGTCAAGAGCCATGAGCATTTTGTCTGGTGTGTGTTGATGAAGTAGCCAATACAACTTTTTGTCTATGACACTTTAATATATTTTTATTATTATGATACATGCTATCTGCTGTATCATGCAATGGAAGAAAGAGTAATAAATCCTAACTCACTTTTAAGTATCAGAAAAAACACTGTCGAATTGTCTCTCCATTCAAAAAACTGTGCTTGAATAACACCTGACATTAACATCAAATAATGACAGAAGGAAGCATCCTTTCTTTCCAGTTTCTTGACACTGACAATTTGTAAGGGAAAGTAATTCTCAACTCTCTTTACACAGCAAAAGAAGGGAAAAAAAAATCTCTTTTCAATAAGAAGCATAATTACATGATCAGTCCCATAATTATAGTAATTGCATGACCAGTTCTCTAAGAATATGCAGAGTTATGATGATGACAGTACTGTTACACCATTGTCAAAATTTCAAGTGCATTCTCTAATCTTCTTTTTCCTCTTCAGAAACTATTAAATTGATTTCATTTGGAAATTTACATTGACTCATGTACCAACGTTCACCGTTGGTTGTCTGGTTTATCACTTCTAATTCCTCAAAAGTGCCTGTGCCTAGAAAGTCTGAGTGTGTAGTTGATGTATGATTAGGTAGAGTGAGCATAATCTATTAAATATGGCTTTGGTTCCAGTTAAAAGCATGGATTCCAGTGCCCCCCTGTAATCAGCAGTGAGGTATGCTGAGCTGTATTTTACTCTGTTTTTCAAGCAGACCAAGTTGTTGCCATTCCCTCAATCACAGTTGTAGTTTGGGAGATGTGAAGAACTTGTGAATCTCAAAGAACTGAGCAATAGGTTAAATATCTGAAAGGAAATTTGGGCTTAAACCTGTGTCTCCAAATGGAGCATTTTTTTGCATTCAGAGCTCTGTGGGTACAATTCAAACCACCATGATCAGATAGGTGAACAGGGTGGGAAAGGTAATTCATCTCCTTCCTGGCATATTGCTTTGCTCGTACAAATGTGTCTTTGAGAACCCTTCAGATCTTGTTTTACAGTGAGGTCTTTGCAGCTAGCACTGAACAACCTTCAGGGATGTAAAGATGGATCACATGAAAGGTTAGAAAGATGGAGTCTGGGCTGAAATCTCAGAGCCCCTCCCTTTGTCCCTCCTGTTTGCTCTCCAAGTCCCCTGAGCCTGTGACCTTCCTATCATACACAGAGTAAAATCGAAGCATGTGTCCTGATTCTTGCTGAGATTTTAGGGTGACAGGCCTGGGCTTTGAATTTGAGCCCATCATGGTAAAGCTGATCTTGGTGAGGCAGGTTTCTGCAATATTTTGTTACATAGTGAAACAAAAGAATGAGCTTTTTTTGTTTGTTTGTTCTTAGAGTCTCTTTTAATTTTCTGCTATTTTTTCCCCCTGCCTTTTAGCAACCTGAAGGTGCAAAAGAGAGACAAGAAAGAGAAAAATTGCATTTGAGAAAAAGCAAGTCTCATAAGAAAATGGGAGAGAAATCAGAGGCAAGGAGAGATCGGGAAGAAGCTGAAAGTTCAGAAGTACCTGCAAAACACAGCCAACATTTTCCATCACAAGCAAGCATTCAGAAAGGCTATGTATGCACAGGAAGCTAGACTGCATTGAGATAATCAAGCTTAACACTCCCCCTGAAGAGCAGAGGGGGCATTCTTGATCTGTTTTGACTAGGAGAGGCCTATTAGCTAGAATAACCCCTAAGCTGTAAAATAAAAGTAAAATTCAACTGCAGCACTGGCACCATGTTACTGCTACTTCCTTTCTTTACTTTTGTTATTACAAATGTGACCTTTGTCATAGGAGTGCATCAGTAGCAAGATCCAAGTTAGAGATTAACCATGATAAGAGCATTTAAGGCATATTCAGCATTGCAGCAGAACAGTTGTGGATGTGTTCTTGATGGAGACCACTATCTATGTATTGCAGAGCCATGCAAAGCCTTATGTCTCTTTTTTTAATTGAAAACAGGCTTTTTGGTAGGTTTGGGAAGAAAAAAACACACATAAACAGCTAACTGCTCCCTGGCCCTGACATTCACTTAGATTTCTCTTGAAAACAGGTATCTTTTTGCTCTAATAATCTAATAATAAGCTGATAATCTTTCAGCTCCAAATTTATGTAAGTGAAGAGAAGCCCATGTTCTCTTCTACACCTGTGCAGTATGACTCATTTCACTGGTGTCTCCCAGCCTTCTCCCATGTCCTTAATCCCATTTTCCCAGTCACACAACTAGTCCTTTCTCCCAACTTTACCCTTGTTACCTTGCTTCTTTTGTGGCCTTTCCTCTCTCCATTTACTACTTTACTGCCATGTAGCTATCAGCTTCTTTGGCTACGTCTCTACTTTTGCTTCTTCATCAACATCTGAGCCTTGCTGAAAATCCTCCAGTAAAACCAGAGATGTTCTGTCTCTCTGTCTCTCACATATTTCCATATAATCTCTTCAAGGGATTGCTGAGGGACTGCAACCCTTTTTCCTTTTCCAGAATTTGGGCCAAACTGGCTGTCTATGGCAAGCAGGACCTAGGAAAACTCTGTTCCTCTGGCAGAGGATCTCCTAAACACAGGTGTAAATCTCATCTCCACATGCTCGCAAACACATACACACTCCCACAATTCCCCTGTGCCCCCCTTTCTTCAAAGAGTCAGTGTTCTCTGCAGATACAACCCAGCTCTCTTTGGGAACAATCTCCCCAAGCCTAGTATGGAGAAAGCCTCATTTGGATAATACAGTTAGAGAAGAGTGATGACTAATGAAGTCATGAATGAAAGTCGAGGTCTGATGGATATTCTTCTTGTGATTTTTCTGTAATTAAAAAAGATCTTAATAATTTACCTTAGAGCCTTACTTTCGGATATTCAGCCCTTTAAAAGCTTAGGGCATCCTTAACACTTTGTAACACTTATATCCATTAAGGAATTGTGTTGTTTGTTTGTTTGTTTGTTTTTTAATTTAGGGCTTTGGGGGATATATAAGAAAGCAATCGAACCCTTACTGATGCTTGTAAATTGCTTCTTGCCTGGTAACATATATTATAAACTAATAAATCTAATAATGGAAAAATGTTGTTCCTATGCATAGCTCCTGTCCTTCCCAATTGATATTTAATTTTTACAAAGTTTTTCTGTCTGCCAAAACTTAAATACAGATGACTTTTCCTTTACAACCTTAATCTGAAGACTGCATTACAAAAGGTGTGGGTAGAAAAGAGCGTGGTCAGCAGCATCTGAGCTCCTCAGATGAGCCCTCTCACATACATCCTTTCAGGCAGCAGCCTGTCCTCACATCTTGGGAGAGCTGAATGCTGTGGCTGCATCAGCTTTGCCTGGATTTCAGGCCATCAGCTGCCTGCTCCTGTTTTACAGACAGGTTAACTCAACAGGCCCCAACAGAATTTGCTTGTATTCATCAGACCAACGTGCTGGTTGTACACCACACCTGATGGAAAACACCAAACAGCTAAAACAGGAGAGCCCTGTGTGGCTGCCTCTGACTTGCTGGTTACCATCTCCCTGAAAGCACAGAGAAGCCTCACTGCCACCAGGGCAGCTCTGCCTGCAAACAGCTTCCCTGTGTTTCACCTAATCCCATCTCTCTGATGGGTGAGTCTGTAAGTGTTTGAACCGGCCCATCAGCCCCATGGTGTGACTCTGGAAACAGAAGCTTTCACACAATGCCCTCTATTTACTCAAGATCATTCTCTCTTGCTTTGTATCACGGCTGATTAGACCAACAGCCCTTTGCAGCTCAGTCCCTTCCAGTCTGAGGAAGTAGTGTTACTTAGATGGACTGAAGCTTGCATGATAGATTGAAATAATTCTCCACAGAAATTAATAAATATTCCATAACAAATTGGACATTTGGGAAGGCAGGTAACCATCCAAAGACGATTGTTGATTGCAATGGCACATCTGATATTTGTGTTTCCACAGGAGGTGGAAAATACAAGAAGTCAGAAAGACTCCAGAGGGTTTCCATTCTCACAGCAGGTCACTAGTTCTCTTGCAACTGACATGAAAAATAGTCACTGCCTTGATTCCATCCTGAATTCCCAGAGCAACGGGGCTGCCTGCAGGCAGCTTCTGCACAAACACCCATTCCTGGGCAAACACTGTTTGCTTTTTCTGCCCTTTCCAAGAGTGGGATGGCTGCAAGTTGTATCAGAGTCCAAACCCTGGATCTCATGGAGGTCAGGCTTCAGTGGGAAGTGAAGAAAAAGGGATGAAAAAATCCATATGCTCATTAATAAGAAATATTGAAAGCATGAAACAGAAAGGGGAACGAGCAGGAAAACTGATGTGATTCAGGGATCCATGAAGGAAATATTAAACTTGCTGTGTCTCACAAGTGGAAGATCATGGTCTGATAACACGCTCATCCCTGTGGATTCTTCCAGCAGTTCAAGGCTAGCTGGAAGTGCTCCTGTGGGAAAGGAAGATGTGGGTACATACAAACCTTTCAAGAGCAAGAGAGGCTTATACCCCACTCTTTTCTGAGAGGGCTAAGAAGAGGACATCAGTTGTGGTTACCTCATCTGTCAGGTGGGCAACCCCAAAGCAAAATGTTTATGCTTGCTTCTCAGGTGTTACTGAATTGCAGAACAGTTTGGAGGATGAATTAAATTTTGGGTGCTTGTTAACTTATCATGTATCAGTATATGAAATGCCACACAGGTAAAATGATGTAACATCTGTATGTATGTACATGCTCACAACAACCCTTTCTGGGCAAAAAAATGGGAAATATTTAAATGCATTAATAAAAAAAATGAAACAACCACGATGTATGACTGAAGAAGAATACAATACATATTTTTTAAAAAAATTGAATACAAAAAATATTAAAATATTAATTGGCAGGTTTTTGTTCTTTAGCATAAAAAATGGTATTCAGGTAAGCACAGCCCTGGCTCTGAATGCACTCAGTGTACACGTGAATAGTGTAAAACAATTCAGACATATAATCAAGCTTGATAACTTGTTTTGGGTTACAATGCAAGATGTAACCAAAAGTATGTATCACCAGCTGTTAAAACCAGGTGAGGCAGTGTTCTTTATCTCTTCCACGACCCATTCTCCCTCCAGGGGGATCTCTTCCAATGGGCCATTGAGTCTCACTGCATGCTGCATGACTGATAAAATTACATCACCCCTTCGTGAGATGCTCCACCCAGGGGGAGGAGCCAAGCATTACTACCTGGATTTTTATTTTAATTTTCCGAGTAAAGAACAGTTATTCCTATTCCCATATCTTTGCCTGAGAGCCCCTTGATTTCAAGATTATAATAATTTGGCGGGTAGGGGCCTTACATTTTTGCATTTCAAGGGAGGGTCCTGCCTTCCTTAGCAGACACCTGTCTTTTCAAACCAAGACATAACTGAAATTATTCACACAGCAATGAATCATAATCACAGGACTTTGAGCTTATCACAGCTTTCTGCCGAAACTGTTGTAAACAAAAAGCTCTTGAAATGTTTCCAGAGAGATATTACAGCCAAAATCTAGTCATTCAGTGAGGGAATTGAACACTGAAATACAACAAACTTGATAAAGAATGCCCTGCCTGCAGTTGTTGTGCCAGAGCTTTAGGTAATTGTGTGAGAACAAATGTGAAAATAAACCCACTCATCATAGAAAACATTGCTCATAGTGTGTTGATTTTCATTTTCACTGTTGTTTTAGACTGGCTTGACAGATGCTATTGCTCCTCTTAGGAGGATCCCAGCTCTACATCTACAGTTCCTTGGAAAAAGATAATTTCTCTCTGCTGTGTCTTGTCCCTGAGGTCAGACTGAAAATAAGAGAAAGAAGTGATACAATGAGCATCAATATTCTGTCATACTGGATGCATTCTTGTCCTTCTTATATGTTTATCAAAATGCTTCAGTTCATACAATTTCTAAACTGACAAAACCTTTGGTGTATTGAGAAGACCAACCAACTTGTGGCAGCTGTACATGAATTTTCATCAAAAAACCATCAAGGCCCTTACAGAGAGTCCTCAGACTGCAGAATTAGTCCTGCTCTAGATAATGAAGTATCAAAAAAGAACTCTTTATTTTGCTCTAAAGCTTGAGCAGAAGGATTCATTGACGTGGTTTCCTGCAGCCATATCCCAAGATATGAGGTAAATGCTAAGGTTTGGCATTTCTTTCTTCCCTTCCTGGACTATTATGCAATGGCTCTCATTTGATATACTGCTCTTCCTGTATACACAAAGTACTTCTTCAATGTTTCTCATAAACTTTTTCAATATAGTGGGTCTACTCCCTGAGAACTCCTATACAGAGAAATTTGTCTGTCAGAAAGCAGCTTCAGTGATTTCAGATTAGCACAAGTTTATGCCTGGCAGAGAAGAATGATTAGGGCATTTTTTTGTCCTAGCAGTCCCAGCAGCAATAAAAGATCCTCAGGGAGAACAAAATCACTTTGGGCTGCTTTCACCTGTGCAGAAGTGGCAACCACAGTTTACCCCAGGATTTGGGAAATATATAATATACTCATGAGTTTCTTCTCCATTGTGCCAAGTTCTACATGCCCACAGCTGCAGATGAGGCTGCTTCATCTTCTGTTCCTTTAATGCCTTTTGCATGGAACAAAAGAACTCTCACATTGGGATAATTCAGGTCTCAACTGATCAATGGGCATCAACCATAATGTCCATCACTCAGGATACTCACTGCAGTGTGATTTCCTAATCCAAAGCAATTCTGAGCTGAGAGTGCTTAAGACTGATAAAAATTTCTTCCCAGTTGAAGCAAGAAGATTTGGATCCATGTGCAATTTCTCATGGTGTCTTGGGGACTGACTGTAGCAAAGAACTTCACTGCATGCACAGCTTTCATAAAGAGTTGTTATAGTGAACCCTCAGAGCCTTATTTTTTGTTACTTGCAATACAGAGAGTAGAAGAAAGACAGATCTTGACTAAACCCTGAGTGCTGGTGACTGAGAGGTGATACATCTCTGTGTTGAAGTTGCTGCAGTAATCCTGTATTACCAGATGCTACTTAGAAGGTGAGACAACCTTCAGTATTTTCTTTAATGGCTTTTAACAACATTTTGCATTGATGGAAAGACCAAAGGTGAAGATGGTGGGCCACACACATCAGCTGTTGCAGCCAGAGTGTGTCATTCTTCAAATAGCTATATTAGTGGAAAAGTGGAACACAGTGCTCTAAAAGAGCTGCAAGCAGCTGGGTATTTCAATGTCTGCAGTTCAGAGCTGGCACTGCAGAGAGGGAGAAACCAGTTCTCCTAATTCCCAGCTAATTGATGTACTGTGTCCAGCTCTGGGGCCTCCAACATGAAAAAGACATTGACCTGTTGGAATGAGTCCAGAGGTGAGCCACTTTCCTGATCACAGGCCTGGAGAACCTCTCCTATGATGACAAGCTGAGACTTTTGAGACTGTTCAGCCTGGAGAAGAGAAGGTCCCAGGGAGACCTTAGAGCTCCTGCCAGTACCTAAAGGAGACCTGAAAGAAATCTGCATAGGAACTTTTCACAAGTGCATGGAGGTTGTGGATTCCCTACCACTGGAAGTGTTCAAGGCCAGGCTGCATGAGGGTCTGAGTAACCAGGCTTATTGGAATGTTCCTTGCCCATGGCACAGTGCTTGGAACCGGACAATCTTTTAACCCAAACCATTCTGTGATTCTTTGATGATAGAGATAAATTATATGGTATATTTGTTGCCTCAGGAAAGGCACCAAGCACCAAGGACTCCTCTCTTTGGAGGCTCTTTCTGTAGATGGCATCTGAGACACATTGAAGTGGAGTGAGAGAAGCAGGCATAACTGCTGGGCTATAGTGGTACTTTAAAACACAAATCCTATCTCAGTACTCTTTGGTCTGATATAAAATAAGCAAAAACAGAAAGCACTGGATAACACGTTTTTCTAGAAAAAAATAAAGCTGTGTCTGACTTGGATCCTGCTGAAATTATCCTGATGATAAGAGGATTTCATCTAACAATGGTAACCTTCCTTTCCTTAAGATCAATCATCTGGTAAATAATTTGGACCAGGGATCTTAATTTTTGAAGGGAATATATCAGCTCCACCTCTTAAAATTCCTAAGAAATAACAGGAATTCTTGCATTAAAATCCTGTTTGTAAGTGCTCTTTACCACTTGTTTTTAACAGTGTATTCAAAAGTTGCTGCTAAAGAAACCAACCTGTCCCACATGTCATGTCCTGGTGGATCTGTAAAGTCAATGGCAGGCTCTCATCCTCTGTGATGAAGAAGTAAAGAGAGGGTCCTTTAGGATTACAGAGGGGAACTATTCAAGGCTTGATTCTAGATTCAGAAGAAAAGAGAAATCAAAACTCTACTCAGTGCATTAATACATTTTAAGGTTAATATAAGTGGTGTAGATTCTTACAAAGCTCAGAGATGAACTTTGAAGATAAAACTTCCTTAGCTCCTTCTCAGTGATTAGGGAAGAAGTCAAAATATTTTTTCAATTCCTTGGACAGTGTTAATCAAAATTGCACATTTGCTACAAAATGCATTGTTTGCAATTTCACTTTCACTTACAATCATTAATCAACAAGATAACCTTCATAGCCTTTTTCCAGCAGAGGGAGTCTGTCCATACCAAGTGAGAGCATGCACTGTAGTCAAGTGCAAGCACGAGTTTGAGACTGAAATAGTTACAGTGCCAGCAGGAGCAAACCATTATCAACAGCACAGATACAAGTCGTCAAATTTTTATGTGTTGTTCATATATGACTTTTTTTTTATATATATATAGAGGAAATCAATATACTCTGAAACCCATGGCAGAGCTTAGTCTGGTATTAGGGACTGCAGTATTTACCCCTGGTCAACAGAAAACCCTGATCCAGCTCCCTCCTAGTCCTTGCTATAGGAAAAATAAGACATTTCTTGTTCCACATTTATTCTGACTGAAATTTCTCAGAGAGAAAAAACATCTTTATTCTTATAAGCAGTGTAAGTACTTTTCACAGGCAACATAGCTAAAAATAAGCCATATTTTAAAACACATTTCAAAACATCTCTGTTCACCAAATGCAATCTCTCCTCTACAACTGCTTGGTGAGGTGGGTGGCATGACCACCCCAACGGTGGCTGGTCTGGTTCAGGGTCAGGGATGTGGGGAGGTTTGTGCTGCTCTGCTGGGCTGAGAACTCCCATGGCACAGGGTAGGGACATGCTCCTGTTGTGCACAGCTTTACTGGCAGTGGGACAGTCATAAGCACCTGGGGAGCAGCAGGAGTCTTAAACCACTCAGCTTTGCACAGGCAATGTGAGTTACAGTCCCTGGCCTCTCCCTGCTATTGCAGAGGAAATCTGGACACATAAAGCCATATTCAGCATAAATGGCCACATTGGCAGGATCAGTTCATATGTCCTGTCAAGTAAATGTGTATATTTGCTCAGAAACAAAAAGCAGGTAAAACAACTGTATTTCATAAAAGAAACAAAGTCAGTCACAAGAAAGTCAAAACAAAACTGATAGTAATTGAAAAAGGATGATTTGGCTGGGAGATTCAGCAGGAGACATGGAATCAGAATTGACCTATTGACCTTCTTTCCCTTTTACACTTATCACTGGCTTACTAAATCAGTTGGTAATTTCATTTTTATTGTGCCTGTTCACCAAGCCACATATATATATATATATATACATATATATAAACATATGCACTATATATATATATACATGCATATATGTGTGTATACACACACACACACACACAGAGACATGTGCTGACAATTAGACATTTGTATATCTGCATCTCCTAGAAGAAATGTGCTGTTCTGTGGATTTCTGTCCACCACTCCTCCTGCCTGGCCACAAACTATTACTTTTCAAGCTGCCTCTGGGATTCTCTGCTTTGCCTCAACTTTCTTGCTCAGAAACAGCCTTCTCCCCACCAATCCCCAGCTTTCCTAAAACAGCCTTTTCCTACAGAGATGCTTAGCTGATTGCCTGTGACCCCATTTGTAGTCATCATCTTGCAAGCTCAAACACATGTTCAAGTGTGCCTGTGCTGTTAATATCCTAAATAATAATAATAATAATAATAATAATAATAATAGTAATAATAATAAATTTTATATAGTTTAGATTAGATTAGATATAAGATGGACATTCCCATGTTGTGGGAAACCTCATGAAAAGGCAGGAACAAGTGTGAGTCTGCACTGTGGCAGTGCCAGCTGGACTTCTGGGTTAAAGCAAAGAGGAGGAGGATGCCTGTGGATTAATGCTGGAGCACCTCTGCAGCTGTGACTTGGTGCCTGGCTTGGGAGCAGAGTTGGTGATGCCAGGGGTGAGGAGCTCAGGCTGAACTTTTTCATGGGGTGGTCTGATTAGTGCATCCCTGGGGAGGAGCGTGGTGGAGAGAGCCCAGAGCTGCCTTTGGCAGGGAGATGGTTTGTAAGAGGTGTTTTGGGTTCATGGGGGGGTCTGGAAATTGAGGTGTTTTTGGGAGGCCAAAGTTTCCCTAAGTGACAGCCAGCCAGAAGACCAAAGGATCCATTTCCCAGTGAGATAGAACACATGGCCATGTCTGTAAGGAGCTGGTTGGGAGGACAGTGGCTGAGGGGAAAGTTTGTCTCCTGGGAATATTGCACCTGGTCACAGAGAGTTTTGTGGCTTGGATGGACTCCCTTCTTATTATGGCTCTTTCATGTAAGTGATAAATGTGTGTATTGGGGGAGCCTTTGTGATTTTATGGCCCTGGTGTCCTGTGGGAAGAAGGCTGGTACAACAACCACATGTGGCAAGCAGGAGGATATTTTCCTGCTGTGCAGTAGAAGAGCCAAAGGAGAAGGGTCACAGGAGGCAGTGCCTATGCAGTGACACTGGATTTCCAACCTCCTCATCACTCATCACACATGTGCACCTTCCACAGCTGTGCTCCTGCTCTCACTTTCCCTCTTCTGCTGAAAAAGCATTTTTCCCTCTTTCTCCCTAGGCTGGGCTACAGCTGGTGTTTTTCATATCATTGCTTAACTGGCCAGTTTCCCCATCCTGTTCTTTCTGCCTCGTGTCTCTGTCCAGAGGGTTGTTCACCCTGATGTCTTTCCCCAGCTAACTATCCTGACTCACCCAGGGTACGTGCACAACAGCAGCAAGTGAGCCAGAGAGACTGAGAGAACAAAAATTAACAAAACAGTGAAGATAAAACTGCAACTTTTAAAAAATATGGAAAGAACACCATTAGGTTTACAAAGTTAAACTCTCAAATCCTGGACAAATCCAGACCTAAGGCTGCCTTTGGAAGGATAGTTCTGCCCCCTTTTCCCTTCCCCCACACAATGTGTATTTTGTGACGTGATTTAATTGTTTGGCTGCATACTACTTTTCCCACAGGACTTGTGCCTCATTTAGTGTAAATGCAGGACAGCCTCTGAGAATGAAGCTGGTCTCTGCATTTCCTGGACTAAGTGTGTGACTAGGAGCCCCATTTATCACCACCTAACCCAGACATTGCGCTGAATTCGGAGCTGACAGCTTCTTCATGAGGTCTTCTGGGGTGGTTTCCCTGCAGCCTCTGACTATTTATCACCACAGTGAGCCTAAAGGTGAGAAGCTACAGTTTCCAGGGAACTGGGGACTTTTTATTATGACTTGATGAAGTTTTTTTGAATACTCCATTGGCTCTGGCATTTGTTCAGAATACTTTATGATTTAACTAACTAATGCAGCAGACTTCATTTGCTGTTCTGAGTGCTGGGTGTTTCTATAAATCTATAACCTAAATGTCTCCTACCAGGTGTCTAAAAACAAGAAACCATAAGCCAGAAGTGCAGATATCTCACCTAGATATGACTAAGAAACTTGATAGAAGCAGTGAGAGTTTCTAGTTCCTTCAGCAGCCATTTCTTTCCTCTGCTAGTAAATTATTCCCTGCTTTTCCACAGTCCTCTGCCTTAGGTTTCCATGTCCCAAATAACACAGGACTTAGCTGCTATTTGACCCTGAATGAGCACACCAGATGAGCTCTCCACTGCCTGATCCTATTTAGAAGTCATATCTTGTAAACTTTTTTGACTATTCTGTTGCTGACTGTCCTTCATCAGAAAATGCCAGGTCATTCTCGTCAGAGTGAATAATCTTTAGTTTTCTAACATGAAACTTGCACCATGAGCTGGAGCATAGTAAAAAGAAATTCCATTCCACATTCTCAGAGATGATTTTCAGAGCTCTGTATTGATATTTGCAGCTTTAAAATCATATTTTCTCTCATTCAGCTGATACCCAATGATCAAGGAAAAGCAAAGATTCTTGCTCAGCACTGTGGGGACAGCGCTCAGTCATTTTTTTTTATGCATTTGTATCATGGTTTAACATTTGCAGAAAAGCAGAACAATACTGCAGACAACCTCACCTGCACAGCTCTCTGTGTTGAGACATATTTGCTTCAAGAACTGAAACTCTGAGAAGAAAAACATTTGGAACATGCAGACTACTTTCTCATGGTGCTTCTGCTTTTCCCAGATTTCTTCATTCTTCATCATCATAATAGAGGGATAGGAAAGTCTGTGGAGAAAGTTCTTACTGTTACTCCTGGCATTTCTGGCTTTATTACACTAGATTCTCCATGCCAAATTGCTAGACTACTTCAAAGGACTCTGATCAACCTGAAACATAGCCAATTACCTGTGAATCATAGATTGTTTCAGGAAATGCTCCTGCAGTCACTGCAGTTCCTGGGTTCATGCAGATAGTGTTAAGCTGAGTTCTGCTGACTTTTTTATCTTCATGATTGTTTTTGCATGTTCTTCAAGATGAAAGGCTTTCATAAGGGGGGGTACATTTTTATATGCTACAAATCAGCTTAGCAAATTGCATGGACAGGATATAAATTTGGAAAAAGTACTCCTTTTGAAAGTTTCTTACAAAGGCCTTATAGGTTACTTGTAAAAAACCAAAAAGCAGACAACAAAAACATAGCTAATAACTACTAATATTAAAAAAATTTAAAATTTCATGTATAATGTAACTACTTTTCTTCCCCCCACAGATGATAGCATTAGACCTGGAAGCATTTTTAAATTTTGCATATTTAAACTTGTACCTTCAAAATCTATGCAAGAGCAAATGTCCTTAATAACACTCCAAAGACTGGACTTTCATAAGAAGGGTCTTTGTATTTAAATTCACTTTATTATTTATTCTTATTTTGGCACTACAAGTTGTATTAAAATGTCAATGTTTGTTTTTCCTCAAGTCATAGACAATGCATGTGTTTGTTCTTTATTCAATTGTTGAATGAATTTTGCAAGGCCAGAATTACTTGTTTAACTTTCTGGTCACTCTATCCAGAGAGCTATTATTATATCAGCCACACTTCTATGGTACATTTCATAAAATCATAGAATGGTTTAGGTTAGAAGGAAACTTACAAACCCCCTGCCACAGGCAGGGACACCTTCTGCTAGACCAGGCTGTTCAGGTCCCCATCCAGCCTGGTTTGAACACTGCCAGGGATGGGGCATCCACAACTTCTCTGGGAAATCTCTGCCAGTGCCTCAGCTCCCTCACAGGAAAGAATTCTGAATAAAGAATTCCTTATATCTTCCTTTCTCCCCTTTTTGAAAATGGGAGCAATGTTTACTTTTCTTTTCAGTCACTGGGGACTTTGTCTGACCACTGTGACTTTTCAAATATGATGGAAAGTGGCTTGGCAACAGCATCAGCCAGTGCCCTCAGGACCTTGGGATGCACCTCACCAGGTCCCAGACACTGGTGGCTATTCACCTTCATCAGATGGTCCTGAACCTGCTCTTCACTTGCGGTGTGAGGGCCTTCACTCCCTCAGCTATAAATTAGGTGTAGTGCTACAAAGATACTTACAAACAGCAAACACAAACCTTGGACTCCAAGTGTTCAGGGGAGTAGACCAACCTTTCAGTTCAGTTTTCACCCAGAAACCAGTCATGGATATGTAAAATAGCGTTCCCCTCAAGTGTCCAGGCTGAAACCAGCTCACCTAACCCAGGGGCTATCTTGTCCTCTAGGCCAAAATGCAGATGTTGCAATAATCCTAAAACATCTAGGGCTCTAATTTGTCTGTAGTGTGCTCATGAATTATTTGGATCAAGGCATAGACGTGTGATGTCTTGGTTGATGTTAGTGCCTGGTGTCTGTGATAACTGATGAAGTAAAAGCACTAGAGACCACATTAAATGCAATGTAATAGACCTGTGGGTCTTGGAGCCACAGACATTTGACCATGGGATGTTTCTTTAAGCTAACTCCTGTGGAAAGCGGTTCAAGCACTACTTGCAAATTCATCTCATTTAGGCCTTGCCATGAAATAATATTTTAGTTCCTTGCTTCAGGTGCAATGCTCAATATCAGCAGTGAACAACCAAACAATTGCTCTGTTTGGGTGTTCTATTCCTTCAGCACAAGAAGAGCTCAGTTGCCTGCCTGTGTGCCAAGCATGTATCCTAAGTTTGCAAGAGGAGTGTTGAACTTCCTAACTAACTTTGGAATAAGGCAAAAGGAGTAAGATCATAATGAAGGAAGGTCTGGACTTGACTGAATGTGGCAGCACTGTTGGCCTTTTGTTGACCTTTGGTAAAAAAATTGCATAAGATGTTCTGCTATTTCCATGGTCTCTAACAGTTTTGTAGAATATTTTATGCATGTACTTCTCTGTGGTTACTTTGATACACACTGACTTGCAGAAGTGCAGAATCTCTGCAGGCCTCTGGGGATGCTAATTGGAGTTTTTTACATTGGCAACATTGGTCATCACCTGGAATGACTTTTAAGTCATTTTAAGTGTGGAAGGAAATGAGGAATCCCAGGAAGTGATAGTTGCTCCATTGCCAAGACAAGCATCAAACCAGTGGTAAATAGATGAGGTAATTACAATTGTCAGTATTACTGGCTGATTTAGCTTAGTCTAACTGAAAACTCTTCTGCAAGAGAAGGATATCTATTAGGTAGGGATTAATGTGATGTGAAATGCATTCTGCTGCCTGAAAAAAAAAATGCAGAAGTCACTCAGACCAGGAAGCAGCTTTCATAGAGGCTGGATTTCTGAAGCACTGTTTACAGAGAAGTGGTCCTTCTGGGAACTATTATTGCCCTTTTCTCTGTACTCATTACATCATCCAACCTGAAAAGGCATCTGCTTGCCAGATGCTGAGGGGTATTTGCTGGAGTACTATTCATCTGAGAGTGAAAGTGTCACTTCGTGCTAAAGGGCAGGCGTGGATGCAGCTGCCAGAGAAGAAAAGTGAGACTGAAAATGTTTTAATCTTTACATGGAACTGATATCCCCCACAAATTTCCACGAAAAACTTGTGGATCGTGAAAAGCAGAAATCTTAAATTAGGGGATTTGAGTGTCTCAGAATTCAGTCCAAGTTGTGACTTGCTGATGAGGGGAGTTGCACCTCAGCTTGGTTTTTCCTACAGCTACAGGGCAATCTGGCAACACAAGATCTTGATGCTGAGAGGGGTGGAAAAGGGTCAGGGGAGTCTTCTGGCATAGTTTAAACGGAGCTTCAAAACCCGATTATCACAACTTCCTGGCAAATACCTCCAAGGAGGATTTTTCCACAATGAAAGATTTGAGGCTTTCATTGGTGTTCTCTGCTGGCTGTTGTAACAGAGGTGGTGCAGTGTAAAATGCCCTTCCTTACACTGAGTGATTCTGTAATGTCACACTGTTTACTACAGGATGACATCTGCAAATAAAGCCGTGGTTTCATTCTTCGAATTTTATTTTTAGATATTCTTCTTTTGGATTCAGGGCTGTACCATAAATTCCTGCTAAATTACAGGAATGACCGCCACGGGTGCTCATTTTCGTGGAGAAAACCACGGCAGTCGGCGTGTGTGTAAATAAAAAAAGGCCCCTGTTATATGCAGCGATCAAAGGAAGGTTTGTGTCTCTGAAAGTCTCTCGACTTTTTCTATTTTTCCTCGCCTGCCGGGGCTACTGGGATCCGCTGTCCCCGGCCGCCAGCCCCGCGCCAGCCCTGCCCGCTCCCGGCCGCTTTTCCTGGAAAGCGGGGCAGGAGAGGGGGCGGGCAGCGTCGGATCCCGCGGAAGCCTGGCTTTCCCCGAGCCCCTTTCCTTTGGCTCTGCTCTGGGTCCTTCCCGGCCAGGCGGGGAGGAGAACGCCCGCCCCCCGCGGGGCCGCCAGGGGAACATCTGGAGCGGCCGCGGCGCCAACATCTGGAGCGGCCGCGGCGCATCCCCCGGGAGCCGCAGCTGGAGGGAGGGTCCTGCCCCCGGCGCTGCCCGGGCCGGCAGCGAGACCCCCGGAGGAGGGGAAGGAAGAGGAGAAGGGGCTGCGAGGGAGGGCGCGGCACAGGTAAGGGCAGCCCCGATCCCCGGTGCGGGAAGGGCCGGGGTGAAGGCAGGACGGGCGGCGGCGGGGCAGGGCGGGGGAGGGTCGGATACTGCCGGGGGAAAGGACAGCTGCTCCATGTTTGCCTCCACTCGGTCCACGGGGGGCACTTCTGAGGTGAAAAGCGCGGACGGGACTTTTAAATCAGCAATCGCTTTCGGGAAGGTTGGTGGTGTTCAGATGCGAGCGTGGCCCTTGTAGGCATCCG